TCATCGAAATTGGTATTTTTAAAATTTGATTTCTTAGAAACATTTTGAGTTTGCAGTGTAAATTTTGGCAAAAAATACCAAAAATTTTTCTTACAAACTTAAAATTTTTTAACTCGATTTCTAAGAAAAATTTTGAGTATGCAGGTTTGTGCTGCAGCCTATTAAATTTAGCAAGAAATACCAAGAAATTTTCATCGAAATTTTCTATTTTTCAATACGATTTCTTAGAAACAATTTGAGTACGCAGTTTTATGCAATTTAATTTTAGCAAAAAATACCACTAAGATATTTTCAATTTTTTAATTCGATTTCTTAGAAAAATTTTCAGTATACACTTTTGTAGCCCATTAAAGTTTAGCAAGAAAAATCAAAAAATTTTCATTGAAATTTTTAATTTTTTATTCGATTCCTGAGAAAAATCTTTTGTAAGACATTAAATTTTAGCAGGACATAGAAAGAGAAAAATTCAGAATACGCAGTTTTGGTGGTAATAAAGAGTGCAAATTTCAAGTCGCAAAATTTACCGTTGATTTTTGAAAATTCTTTGTTGATGGTGTTGCGTACCTCCTTTAATATAAGATTTTGTTCATGCGTTATATGGCAGAAAAAGAACGTGAGCAGCAGCATGTGCAAACATTTCCTTTAAGAAATTTTTGAAATTTTTAAATTCGCACTGCTCAAGTGTCATATAGCAGAACTTATTAAAGTAATAATTTATTGGCATCTAAAAGCATGCTCAGCCTAGTCCAACGCATCCTCTAGACAACTCTTCTGGAGTTTTTTGTGGCCTCTGTATGACTTACAATTTGGCAGAGGCGGTAAATGATGATAGATACACAAATATCTACATCTCGCACTATATAATCGCACCAGTTCAATGTCAATACTCGTTTATAATGTCACTCATACGCGATGTACACCACTACAAATAAAATACACATCCCCATAGCTGCTGTATGCCTCCATCAATGTGAGTGGTTGCACATAAGAATAACCAGCACAGCGCTCCTCTTCTTCTTATTCTTGCTCACATATCAGGGATGAAAAAGTAGGTAAAATTGTACCTTTTTCCCACGTTTGATGACTTAAAGGTACATTACGTACATTCACTATATTTGAGGTACAATCATCTTTTAATGAGATGCATTCAATATATGTATATTAGCATGGTAAAGAAAAAGAAAAAAAAAACAACTAAACATGTATCTCATCAAATATAGTCTGTTGGCCTTATTCATACATGCGTGATAAATAATATAGTGTATTAAAACACATTCATTTCTCGATAATAGGTAATGCAAAATTGAATGCCCCACTTTTCTTAGGACATCGCCCTGGGGAAAAAAATGCAAAGGGTTGTTCTACTGATTATTTTTTCATTTACTATACATTACATTTTCCCACTGGGGTTTGATAAAAGGTTTATAAATTGAAAAATGTATGAAAACGTCAATTTATAAAGCTCTTTAAACCTACTTTATTTTTTATGAATAAGGCTATATAGATATAGGCTCAGTTAAAAAAAAAACTTAATCATGTTTAAAGTACATCCATCTTTTGTATTCATGTTTTAAATAAAATTAATAAAAAAAATTACAAATGAATGATGTAACTTTTTTAGGTACAATCATTCTCATTTGGATACATTTATTTTATGATATTAGGTACAACCTGAAATTTCCATTTTTCATCCTTGCTACATATGAACAATTGTCTGCTCCATTTCAAGCTTTATTGACCAAAAGAATTGTGGCAAACTAGGGTGAATACAAATAATAACAAATATAGCAACAACAACGCCCACAATAGCAAGACGAATGATAGATGGCAATCAACAAAAGGGTCACGAAAATCAGCAGCGGGCAACTACATATGAGCAAAAACTTGTTGTAGAGAATACAAAAAACACTAAATTTAGTAGCGCAAAAAACAAATAGCAAATAGAAAACATTAAAAGCAAACTGTGTAGGCAAAATGCGCAAATTTATGAGATATACAACGCAAATGTACCAAAACGATATGTAAGTGCCCTTGAAATGTGCCACATGTTTTTTGAAAATGAGTGATATTATTCATGTATCTATCTATCTATAGTAAGAAAGCTTTAGCATGCGAGAGTGTGACGATGGGCTTACCTTAAAGAAAAATTTGTATGTTGGATAGATTCCTGAAGATAAAGTGTGATTGCGATAAGGATATACAATTGTGTGATGTCGATATCGAAATCGATTTTATTGTTATTTTAAAGATTCTATGTTGCTGAATCCAAAATAAATATCAGTCGTCGACAACGATATTGCTATTGCTGTTTGGGCCTTAGTCTAAATGATAAAAAATATGGAATTTTGATATTGATTCGTATATGGTTTTGTATATCTCTCAATATTACGGGATGGATTTATTTAAAAGCTATGAAAATACATAATTGCTCGGAGTCGAATAGTTATGTGACTTAACCTACTAAATATATAACTGTGTTTCGTTGAGGTGAAGTCGAACATACAACAATATACAGAACATACGTAGTGAAAGAAAGAAAATAGCTTGTCGAGCCCCAAATTAGATACAACAGATGTGGCACTAAATACACTAGGTTAACAAATATTTTTTTTTATGCAGATATGAAATTTATGAAAAAATGTATTTCATATACATACATACATAGGTACACATTTAAGAACAATAAAAAAAATTAAATATTATATAATTTTCGGGCTATCGAAAAATCTCCAGTACACCCAGACACCGAGACAGAGCGCGGTCAACTGACCCTTCCTCATCCTCATCACGACAGCTTCTGCTGGGATTATTTGTTGGTATTCGCCATCGTTGAAGCATTCGTTCTATAGCGCAATGTCTTGAGATAACACCCTTAAGGACTCTTACTGCAGTAGGTTCCTCGTAGCGGCAATAATAATTTTATGGTCTTTCAGTCTTCCTGTCTATGCCACAAATCATTCGTCGCGACCACGGTGTATTTATCAATTTTCCTACCATAATCGGTAGACGGTGGTAGCATGGAGATATCCGCTTCCTGTGTTGATAGCTCAATGACGCCAGCGTGGTGCGACATTTCCATACAATTTCTAATTTCACTATTTTAGATCCTATTGCCTTCAGTGCTACTTGACTATCGATAAAGATAGTGGCTTTATCCTCTGGTAGCCTACTACTAAGTAAAAGACTAGCCGACCTTTCTGTAGGGTGGATCTCTGCTTGGAAGACATTGTAATCGTTCGGCAGACGATATGACCGGTTGGTATCTAGGTCATTCGAGTAGAATTATATTGACTTGGCGCACAATAAAGAAAATGTCCAAATCAAATTCTGTATAATCGCACGATTAACTCAGCTTATGCAATTGGTTTATATTTTATTGGGCATAATAAGCACCTAGATTGCTGCATCAGTCAACTTATTGTGAAATCACACGGGCATAAAATAAGGCGCATTGTGGAGATCGTGTAATCCAGCCATTAGATACTTTCAGATATTTAAATATTCAGTCAAAAATGATATTCACACTGGATCTGAATCGAAAATTAGTTTTTCGTAAAACTTTTTGGTAATTGAATTTAAACTAAACAAATTATAATAAAATTATAGTTTAAAAAACTGAAAACTCGCCTTTTTTAAATTTGAACTAAAAAGTAAAAAAAGTAATATATAGAAATACAGATATCGTTTAAGAGGAATAGAAAGTTCCCTAACTTGATTTAATAAAACTTTTAAAATCGACCAAAAATAGAACTAAAGTAATTGACATTAAAATTAATTTTACCGTGGGGTATTTCTTAGATTTTATAGTCTTACTATTAATAATATTTGTTCAAAATTCTTCTTTTTCGGAAAAATTTATTTTAATGTCAATTACTTTAATCCCATTTTAGTTTGGCTTTAAAAGTTTAATTAAATCAATTTAAGGAGCTTCAAATACGAAATCTGTACTTCTATGAATTATTTTTTACATTTTAGTTCACATTTAAAAAATGCGAGTTTTTAAATTTTATTCCAAAATTTCTGAATTGTCTGAAAATTAAAAAAAATTGTTTTTCTCATTCAAGAAGGTAGTAGCTATGGAGCTACTTGGAGAACCATTGTACATTTTCTTTTTGCAAAAATGGCTGTGATTTCTTTAAATGACATTTATTTTCGTGAAAATATTAAGTTATCGAATACACCAGTTCGAAAAAAGCGCTTTCGAGAGGAACGCAAGATAAGGTATATACCGCCGTTCGGGGCCATTCCACCACGCCTACTTCTAACTGTTATAACTTCTGAAGTATGTATATTCAGTTTCAGNTTCTTTTTGCAAAAATGGCTGTGATTTCTTTAAATGACATTTATTTTCGTAAAAATATTAAGTTATCGTATACACCAGTTCGAAAAAAGCGCTTTCGAGAGGAACGCAAGATAAGGTATATACCGCCTTTCGGGGCCATTCCACCACGCCTACTTCTAACTGTTATAACTTCTGAAGTATGTATATTCAGTTTCAGAATGGCGATTTTTTATTGATTTTGTATTTCTTATTACTTACTTCTTCCTTTATTTAATTTATTTTTATTTTAACCAAACTAATAAAAGTATTATCTTATCTGAACCCCTTCATTTATTTCANAATTTATTTTTATTTTAACCAAACTAATAAAAGTATTATCTTATCTGAACAGCGTTTACCCCTTCATTTATTTCTTTTATTTAATTTCTTTTTTTTTACCAAACTAAAAAAAATATTTCCTTATTTAATCTGCGGGCATTACATGCTCAGGAGTAAGGGATATCTCTTCCCGTTGGTTTTAAAAATTTTACTTTTCAGAAAATAGTAAATATGGTTTTGCAATTTTGTTTAAGTGTTTCTTCATTTTGAGCAAACAAAAACAATTAATTTCCACCATTTTAATGATTACGTTTATAATAATTCATTCAATACTTACCACAAATATACTTATTTAAATGCTAAAAATTAATGTAATAAAACTATTATTTTTTCCAGGTAAATGCATATGCTAACTCATATCCGCGTACCGCAGCCTCTATATCAACTGATCGCCTAACGAAGCATGTAAATTAGAGTAAAATATCTATGTCGTTAACACGAAAATTGCAGCATTAATAATCAGCAAATTAAATACCATATACGATTTTGCCAATATATAAAATCAACTGAGTTGCGTAAAGCACTTTAAAGCCAATAAACAAATATTAAATGCAAATAAATTAGAACGCCAAAAAAAAGTTAGTACCAACAAACATACCACAATCAATGCGCAAAAAAAAAGTAAATGCATGTAATTGCGCGACGAAGCAAATGAGCTGCACAATTTCGCAATGCGTTTATAAATATTTAATATATTATTTTTTGTAATTGCAACAGCAATACCAACAACAAACACACACAAAAAATATGCGCGCGCAAATTAACATGCTTAAAATACATAAATTCATATTAATATAGATGTAATTTGCGCAAAAAATGTGCAAAGGGGAGCAAACACAACAACAAAAAAAAAAATAATGACAAAAGAGCTGAAAGAAATAATTAAAAGTGTTTGCCATTTATTGCACTACGGCGCCATCGTCAAATGAAAGGCAAATAAAAAAATATATAATAATAATTTATAAATAAGTAAGCAAGCAAGCAGACAGGCGCATACAATTGCAACGGAAATGTACACACATAAAAAGCCTGCTTAATAATAACATTTATAATAAAAAGTGCAAACACATTTACCGCAAAACGCGCAGCTCTAAAATAATACTACAAAAGTGTGGCGGCGCCGTTGTCGCGTTACCCATACGCCACCGTATACGCAGGCGAATAAAAAGCCACTTGAGCATTGCCATCGAGTTGGTGTTGCTGTTGCTGTTGTAGAAGTGTTTGTTTGCGCGTCAGTATATGGCTGAGTGTGTATGCCCATGTGCGTTCGCTCTGTTAATGTAAAGTCATAAATTATGTATTTAATTAATTAATAGCGCAAAACAATAGCAGCATATTAACACATGTGCGAGTGCGAGTGCGAGTGTGAGAGGCGTAGACAAACAAATTTACAAGTAGACGAAATATAAAAAGCACGCTGCTTTGAGTGCCCCTTCTAATGTCGCTGCAAATTGCAAAGAAAGTTGGCGCATTGTCTTGAAGCTCTTTTTATGCTTAATTAAGCGGATTTATTTTGTTAATTACAGCATAGTAAATACATAGTTGTGTGTAATCATTAATAATACTTCAAAATCAGGAATTATCGTAGTGCCTATTGTATGAATTTCAAATAAATAAAACAAAAAAAGTATTAGGTGAGAAAATTATAGGAAATAAATAAAAGTTAAATCTTACAAAGCCGTACATATCTTTCTGCGTTAGTGGACACCAATGGGATATTGATCGTTGAGATTTCAGGATATTGGTTTTATAGAAAGGTAAGATATAGCAAATAATTTACTGCTTCTAATACTCAATAGTATGAATCAAGCCTAATTCACTGGCAATTTGTTTGCATTAAGTAGTGCTGTTTTAAATTTTTGATGTTACACACATCTGCAGTGTATTTTTGGTCGTACTTTTGTCTGCGCGACAAAACTTTTAGAGTCAACTTACTTAAAACGCGAATTGAGGACTCAGATTTAAAACTCGTGGTAATCCGATTTGGTTCATATTAAGAATGTTTATTAATTACATAAAAAGGAATAAATTGTGCCGGTAGGTGGCGCAGAGGTCGAGATATTTGATATAACAGTATTTATGGTACGATTTCGTTCATATTTAGAAATCTTGTTTTAAAAATATTTTTGTTTTTTTTACCATAAATAATAATCTTTAGATTTAGATTTGTATATTTCGGTAAAACTTAATCATTTTGATTTTTATTTTTCTGGATTAAAAATAATCGTTCTTTTGGATTTTTATTTTTTTAGATTTTTATGATTAAAATTAAGTCTAAAATTATCGGTTCTAATATGATCGAAAAAATTAAAATCCTAAAATTACGGTTAAAAAATTTGGAGATGGAAGTCCCATTTAAACGGTAAATGTATGACTTTTATTATAGCGATCATAACTTTTACAGTGTATATAACTATATCAATGCTGAAGGAGCCGAAATGTATCTCGAAGAAAATCGCCATTCGTTCCAGAGGAAGTTGTTTTCCGTTTTTTAAGCTTAAGGCTATGTCGAATACAGGTATATTCAGGCGATTTAGGCGGCCAAAACTATTTTCTGATCTATATCTGAGCTAAAGAGGATAGTAAATAAAAATCCGCAGTTTATTTCTAAACTTTGTGCAAATCTCAGGGAAATTCAATAAACTTGCTAATTTCTCATCCGATTTCGTAAAAACTTTTTCAGTATGCAGTTTTGTAGCCCGTTAAATTGTAGTATAAATTTAGTACATATACATTGTAACATTTAACTGGCTGAAAAATCGCGTTGATTTTTGGCAATTATTTTTGCTAAAAAAGAAAAGTAAGTGCGCCTGGACCACACTGGAGAAGTGAAACTTACGTTACATATCTATTTTGTCTGATAACCAATATACATACATACATAAATACATCTACTTTTGCTTAAGGTTATATTTTTTGTCTTTTTTCTATCTAGATCCCTATCTCTACCCCAGTTCGTTCTAAATAGATGACAGTATCGATAACAAAATCGTTAAAAATATCGATAAAGATATCTATAACAAAATCCATAAAAATATCGAATATTATATCGATAAGTTCCGAAGACATCGATAGCAAAATCGGTAACAATATCGATAAAAATTTCGATAACAAAACCAATAAAAATCTAACCGAAAATCTCTGAAACCCCAAAACAGTTCACATATTGAATCTTTGGGTCTCAATCCATATCCTTTTCTCTATAATTACCTTTATTTTAATCTTTCTTCCTCTGTCTTCATCTTAACTTTTATCGGTATCCTAATAATCATCTTTTTTTTATATTTATCTTCGTTTTTACTTTTATGTTTAAAATTTTCTTCATCTACATATTCCCCTTCACCTTTGCCCCTATATAAGTTAAGTGTTTAAATTTACTTTGATCTCCATTTTTGCTTTTATCTTTACGCACCTTTGTTTTTGTTTTTATTTTTACTTTTGCCTTTATCATGTTCTTTATCTGTGTACGTACTCACCTTTACTTTCCTTTTTGTGTTGGTCTTTTTCTAAGTGTTATTCTTTAACCTTTTGTTAGCAAGAGATTGTTAAATTAATACCATATGCATACACTCAAGAAGCACTTGTTTCAACTCCAACCATTTCCGTTGCACCATTTCCGTTGCATCATTTCATTTCACCACTTCCGTTGCACCATTTCCGCGTATAATTTCCGTTGAATTTGGCAAGTTACTCCCAACCAACCAAATTTGTAAGCAGTGTTATCTTCTACAAAGTTCAAATGCCTTTTACTCCTGAGTCGGCGTGAGTCTGCGACTAATTTTTACTACATAGTTTACTAAGTATGTGCACTTTCTGCTCTAAAGTAAAGTAGTTCAGGGGCAGACACTGAAATATTTCAAAACTTTTCGTAAGGACTACAATCTTGATAAAAATTCTTAATTAAACAAGTACCATTTAGACTCTTAGAAAGTAATTACAAAAAATCAACATTTAAATAAATTTTGTTAAGAGGCAGAGATACTTACTAGATTCATTACCATCCACCACGAAAATAATATTTAATTCTTAACTTGCAAACAAAATTATGACAGTGTAAACGTTGTTTCAGACGATTGTTGTGAACAGGTGCGTATACTATAAGTAGCGATACAATTTTGACGTTATGCATGAACGGGAGAAATAGCATATGGTTGCCAGACTTGTGCAGTACTACAGAAAGCCAAGGAAGTCAGGGGATTTGCTCAGAATGGCCACTGACTAGTAAAGAGAATTTCAGTTGAGCTTAGTCCATTTGCTCGATTTCCTCTGATGATAGCAAGCCATGACACTTGTTCGGCGGATAATCTTTTAATCAAAGAAGGCAGAGTTTTCCTAATTTTTTTCGTTCCCAAGACAGCGTAAGAAAAACATCGGGTTAAAAACGCATTTTACTAAGGTACTAAAATTCGATAAAAATGTGAAACAAGGTAAAAAATCTCCTCCAAATTTAAAATGAGCGATACATATTTACATACATACATAGAATAGGATTGGATGTATAATTTAGGAAATCATTACTTTCACTCTCATCCTTTTTGACGATTCACTAGTTTGTAGCTAATTTTCATTAGAGTTGATTCAATGCTTTTACTTTCTTGCCCTTTCAGTGCTTGTAAATGAGATGCAGCAGACAAAAGGATTTAACTAAGGCAGTCTAAGTAAATGAAAAGCAGCAGGCAGCAATAAAACAAACAATAAACTGGGAAATAAAGCTTACCATTTGGCGACACTGAATTGCAGTAAACGCGAAAGCAAAATAATGTCTCGCTTTTAAAAGCGGAAACGGAAACTCAATCAATGCGTTACAAAAGTACGCTTCAGGCGCTTAAATACAATAAGCAACTTAAGTAGAAGTTGAACAAAAAAAAAACGTAAAAAGTAGCAACTATAAAATAATAGCTAAGGAAAATAAAAATTGCAGTGGGAAATAGAGCAAAACAGCTAAAGGGAACTACAGAAACAACTTACTGAGATAAAAGAAAAAAATATTAAAAAAAATTTAAGCAGAAATCAGGGAAGCAAATCAGAGTTGCAGAAAAAGATTGGGAATCATTTAAATTGTACAATTGGAGGACAAGGTGGAGTGAAGTGGGAGGAAGAGTGCAGCGGTGAAGGCTGCTGAGAAGAAAAAAAAATAATCGAACAGAAAACAGGTGCAACACAAAAGCGCAACGGAAGTGAAATCGGTGAAATATTCACGCACACCATTGCAACGCTGAGAAAATGCTGAAATAAAGGGCAGCAGCGAATGAGAAGTGAATAAGTACTGAAAAACAAGCAAAAAAAATGTTGCTGTAAGACGTCTACAACAGGAATTAAACTATAAAACAACTGAAATTCGTCGACAACAACAAAAGCACATTTTGTAACGTATTTCCGGTATTGTAAGCGTTGCAAGCAAAATAAAGCAAAGTGTGGGTGACTGAAGGATAGATAGAGCGAGGGAGCGCGTGAAGAGTGAATTTGGAAAAACTAAGTTTAGCGTAAAGTTTGAGCATAAAATAGCAGAGCAACGGAATAAATAGCAATAAATAAGTACATGAGAAGATTTGCTAATAAATAACTGCGAAAAATTACTAAATAGAATTTCCAAAAAATTTTTAAAACTTTAGTAAGGAAAAATATATTTTGATTGCAAAAATAAATGCCTAACGAAAAACCCTTGACACCATAACTTTCCGTAGTGTCTTTCTCTATACTAACCAATCGCCATAAATTCAAAGCTTCTACGCAACTTACTTATTTCGTTAGTTTTCTTTACTTGCGCAAAAAGAACAAAACAAAAATCGAATTAAGAAACACAAACGTGCATAAGAAGAAAAATCAAAAAAATTCGTATAATAAAAACAAAACAGAAAAATACTCCCTCGGCTTTATATTCATACGCTACGTAGTGTTTTTTTTTGTAACCGCGTACAAATCTTGCGTAGCATTGCATTAGAGCAGCATCGGTTGTTGCATAAAGCGAAACATTTAACGGTAAAGTGATTGGTTGCGTAGAAAGAAACCGTACAGTGGAGGTTCTCGAGACACTTTCTTGTAAGTGACGTGTTGCTGTTTGTTGATTGTTGAACGACCCTAAAAAAAGAGTAGAAGTTTGCAAATAAAAACTTGAATAACCCAAGGAGTTGTAGCCGGTAAGTTGACTTGATTTTTAATAACCTTATAAATGTTGTATTGAATCACTTAAGGGACACAAGAGTTGGCGAAGTGGCAGCCTAAAAGTATGTCGTTTGGTGACAAAAGTTCATAAGAATATTCTTCAATAATTTTAGCCAAAAAATAAAGTATTTCTCCTATAATTTTGGTACATCAAAAAAGATACATTCGTACAGTTAATTTTTTTATCAGTTCCCAAAATTTGTAATAGTTTTGGGAGGTACTTTTTTAGAAACTATTTCAAAAGAAGCGTAACTTAAAAACTGTTGCATAATTTTAGGGCGTCGAAAAAACTATTTCAGTGTAAATAATACGTGGCCTTTTTATCTTTTCCCTAAATAATTTTCAAACGGCCTTTGGTGCAAGTTAACTTCAGGAAGATTTTCATGGCATAATTTTTGACAGCGAATACCTTATAATTAACAGCTTGAAGGTATGCTAAAGGAAATTTTAAACATTTACTGCTTAATTTTATCGATTAACAATTTTTGAATATGGAAGATTTGTAAATTTTCCCCTATACCAAGAGATAATGTCTTTCTATTCAACCTCGTAAAATTATTTGCATGAATAAGCCCGAACTCTAAGTCATTGGTTCTGCATGCAGTGATGACCGCCAACGCCATTCTGTTTCCAGGACCTTCCAAAAGGTAAATGGCCTTTGAATTCTCCAAATACGATCTCGTCTAGATGCGTCTAACAACTCTACAAGTAGGTTCTGCCTATTTTTTATTTTCCAGATAAATTAAGTATGCAGTTTATATGATTCCTCGTATCGCTGGAGTTATTTGCGGTATAAAGCCATTTGCCTACCCTTGACAATTCGTCTGCCTCGCAATTTCCCGAGATGTCTGTATAACCCAGTACCCACATAATATAGAAATATCAGATCTATCCAAGGAGCTTAGCCAGGTGAACTGAGCAAGTTTTATCCTATTTTGGTATCTTAGTATAAAATACGACCTTTCCGAAAGGATTATCGTGATTCTCTTACAAACTATCACAGCTCACTTCTCTTGGCAGACGGAGTAATGACCTAATGCGTATAGTTGTTGACACTTCTTTCACTCCGACGATCACATATGAACATATAATCTTTATAAGAGAGGGAATAGCCAATAAATTACCAGAAAAATAGTAAAAGATATTAAGTTTTTCTCACGTTTATGCTATTCTTTCGTTCACCTTTTTAACTGTCCTACGTAAACTAACAACTAAAGCCGAAATTTAAATTCAACTCTCCTACAGCATAAATTCTCAGCTTCATACAAAATTTTTCGTAAACGTGCAATATGTATTCACCATCGACTAAAAACAAAAACTCAGAGGAGTACATAAAATACCATTCTCGTTAAATTTACAAGCGTACTTCCCGTGCAATGTCCGTAATAAACTCAATTTAATACCCGACAGTTTAATTGTCCACAAATCCGTTTGGTAATCTACTTAAAATTTACACTAATCCAAGCGTTAATCTGCTTACAACACATTTTAAAATTTCGTGTTTATTATACAGTAACAACAAACACGCACGCGAGTGTGTTAAAGTGATATGCATGTAAAAATTAAATGAGGAAGAGAAGAAACATTAGCGTGCTAGGAAAAAAACAACGTAATTTAGTAGTTAGTAGTGCACAAATACCTACAATATTATACCTACAATATTATATAAGTATGTAAATGTGTACAAAGTACGTAAAATTACAAACAAAATATTTTCTCAGTTGCGTGTGTGTATATTAGGGTGGGCCAAAAATGTATGTGAAAAAGTAAGGTCACCACCTAGGATTGTTCTATACCGAAAAATAATTGACCTCTGAAGGAAACCCAGTTTTCCGATCGAAAAATATTGATTTTCATGAATTGTATACCATTTCTACGAAAAGTTGTTTTCCCCCATATAAAATACATGGAAAACTTTAGGCGTCTTGAACGACCTCTAAGTTTTTCTTTACTTCAAAAAGGAATAATAGAGGCGTACGCAATGCATAATTTGTGGGTGCCGAGTTTATTTCCAAAGTATATTTTATTAGAAATGTTAAAATATAGTTACTAAAAAATTTATAACAATTTAACTCATTAATTTTTCTCTTTTTCACCGACTTAAAAATAAGCGTTATAAAAGGGAGGAGGTTGTCAATTCTTAAAAACATATTGAAGATTTTAAATAAAAATTTGTTAATCAACTACCTTAATTGCATACAAATTTTAAAATTCGGCATCATCTTTACACAAAAATCGTAATTTCTTCATTATTTTTTATTTAAACAAATAGTCTTCGAGGGTCTTCTACAAATCGATCAATTGTTTTAGTGACAATTTCACTTTTGCTTTCTTCTTCAAAACCTCTGTGAACGCTAAGCATACATAAACCCAAATTACAGGTGCAAACTAAGTAGAAAATATTATTAGATGAGCGATATGATTGAGTAAAAATCATAAAATTTCCTATTAGAATATATTTTTAAACGCACCAATCAGCTGTTGATAAAAATAATTTATCAAACTATAAAAAGTAAGCTGAAAAAGGACGTTCAGAGTTAATAAAATTATCGAGTAACAACCAGCTGTTTACCAAAACTACCCCAAAACTTGCGCATGAATGCAGTAGTGGTTGCTTCTTCACCCTTGCTTCTTAATGAGTAGGAGAATGCAAAACCAAATGAGCATATAGAAAATGTCCAGGATTCTAGGTAGCAGGTGGGTTATTGTACCTTTAATCTTCGTTATAAGCCATGTTTTGCTAATATTGAGGGTACGAGAAGAGAGTAGTTTCTGACATTCTCTGAGCGAAATATGTCTTTAGCAGTCCCTTTGAGATGTTAATGCGTCCCATTTGGAGGAACCGCCAAGTTTTGTTTGAATAAAGCTAAGAGAAGCACACTTTTGTGGTATACCAACTGATGCATCGGTAGCTTGCTCCAGCTTGTTCCAACTCGGTCCTGTTACTCCGTTCATTGTGTCAGTTGATCATTGCGAAGCTTACTGCGTTAATAAATACCCTGCTGGAAACTTAGATTACTTTGGTGGTGGTAATCCAAATGATTGGATTATTATATCCATGGATTAGTGGAAGATCGACCTATCTCGGCAGCCAGACCGAAAATGCCCTATCTCAGAAAACTTTTCAAGAACGCCCTATTTCAGAATTTGGTTGAAGAACGCCTTATTTTCAATATATTTTTAGTTGAGATAAGACGTTCTGCAACAAAGTTCTGAGATAGGGCGAATGTTGCGTTAAGTGGCCCTCAGTCGTGATTAGATCCAATATACTAAAACAGCATTTTACTAGTATGTGATTTAAACTGATATCTATGGAGAGATTCCTTTGCATTTCCCGATATAATATAGGAAATGTATTATAATTTTTGACCAATCTATACTTTGCGAATATTAATTGAATAGGGGCGACTCAACAAAGCCCTTCCTCAACGCATTCTTGAACCTTGTTGATGTACCAAAAAAGTCTTGTGCTGAACTTTCCCAAATTTAAAGCTTGAGCTCATTTTTTGTGAGCTGGCGGTCCAGCTTTTGTTCCTTATAAGTAGATTTTATTTTAGGATTGATCATGAATGATGTTCTAGGATCTGATGATCGCAGTGATGTCGTAGTCATCAGTTTGTACTTTTGTTATATTAACTACTTTTTCAGGATTAAGACCAACCAAAGGCCAATAATTTACCACAAAATAAGTTTTTTTTCCTTGCGATTTTTCATAAACTTATTTGACTGCACAACACTGTATGAAAAATTTTTCACGCCCCTCAAAAAATTACTAGCAGATTTCGCTCACCAAAAATGTAACGTGAAATATTCTTTTAATTAATCTATGGCTGAGCACTATGCACTGAAATAATTATAACAAGCGGAAAAATATGCATTTAAATGCAAACAAACAGTGGCACGGGTACGTGAATAAATGTATCCACATATTTCTATGGCATAACAAAATTTTCGTAAAATAAACGCGTGCTTATATTTGCAATTATGTTTGTACTAGAGGTTTACGCCGACAGGCTTTGCGGCGGCGGCGTGGTCAACGTCAAAAATATTCGGCGGCGGCGGCGACGCCGGCGCGTCTGGAAACGCCGGCGC